AGAACAGCAGAGAAATTAAATTATAGAATAATTCAGAATTAAAGAGAAAAGAAGCTGAAATTAAGAACATTTCATATTGTTCCCTAAATTGTTAATATTTTTTAATAATTACTCTCTCTCTCACACACATTTGTAATAGAAAAAAAACAACTTGTTTAACCCAAGATTGAACTTAAAGCCCTTGTATAAATAGCACACCAGTTCTAACTAATGCTAATCAGTTGTTTTCTAAAACCTTAAGTGATCGCATCAAAAACATTATCTTTACTAAGAAAAAATGAAGAGCTTCCTGTTAGTTTTATGCGCAATTTTGGCTATTTTCGCTTTTGCTCAAGGTAATTTATTAATTTTAGTTATTTTTTAATGATAATTGTTTAATAACAATTCCGCAATTGATTTGTCTAATTTTAGCCGATGAATGCAAAATTGAAGGTCATGTTGTGAAAGTGGGAGAAACTTATTCTTTACCCGGTAAATGTACTGAAATCAAATGTACTGGACCAAATGCTTTTACTGCCAAAACGTAAGTGTTTGATGTTAATTATTAAAAATTAGGTTTTCGAAATAAGTTTGAATTTAAAATTTTAATATTTTCAATTTATTTCCAGCTGTCCCCAGGAACACAGTTTGAAACCCTGCAAATACATACCCCAAGACAATAGCAAACCTTATCCTGAATGTTGTCCCCGTCATGACTGTTAAACTTTTAATTTGTATTAAGATTTTTGTAAAATAAATTATAAAAAATAAAAAAAAACTAATTTTAATAAAAAATTTAAACAAAATAACAAATCTTTTTCTTTAATATTTTATTACTTTATTAAAGTGTTTGTTTTTTTATAAATACATTGTTTCCTTTTTTTTTAAATTACTTAAAAATACATTTGTTTGTTTTTCTGGCAAAAAAATTTTACTATTTTTTTTAATATTTCAATTTGTTTTCTTTTTCTTTTAATAGTAAACATTTGTCTCTTATAAATCGTATACCAATAAAAATTAAATATATATTAATTAGCTTGTTTAGTTTAATAAATGTTGAAACATACATATAACTAATGTTCAATACAGATTTTAATATTAAAAGTGTAAAAGCTAAATAGTTATTTATCATTCTTAATAATTATATTAATTTTTTTTTTTTTTTCAAATATATATTTTTAAATATATAAATTTTACGAAAAAACCTGAGCTAATCTAGGCTAGTGTTTACTTTTTTCTTTAAATTTACTTTTTTTTAATGGACTTATTGAAGAAGTTAAAACAAATAATATTGTTATAAAAAAAGTAGTTTAAAAACATATAAATATTACTGCCTACTTTTAGGCTTAAGCAAAAATAAAATATATTTTGTCTATAGTCAAGTCTATAGTCTAGTCTATAGCCTAGTCTACAGTCCAGGCTATAGCCTAGTCTATAGTATAGTCTATACTCTAGGCTATAGTCTAGGCTATAGTCTTGTCTATAGCCTTGTCTATAGTCTAGTCTATAGTCTAGCCTATATTTTAGTCTATAGTCTAGTCTATAGTCTAGGCTATAGTCTAGTCTATAGTATAGTCTATAGTCTAGTCTATAGTCTAGTCTATAGCCTATTCTATAGTCTAGTCTATAGTCTAGTCTTTAGTCTAGTCTTTAGTCTAGTCTTTAGTCTAGTCTATAGTCTAGTTTATAGTCTAGTCTATAGTCTAGTCTATAGTCTAGTCTATAGTCTAGTCTAGTCTATAGTCTAGTCTAGTCTATAGTCTAGTCTATAGTCTAGTCTATAGTCAACCTATAGTCTAGTCTATAGTCTAGTCTATAGTCTAGTCTATAGTCTAGTCTATAGTCTAGTCTATTGTCTAGCCTATAGTCTAGTCTATAGTCTAGTCTATAGTCTAGTCTATAGTCTAGTCTATAGTCTATTCTATAGTCTATTCTATAGTCTATTCTATAGTCTAGTCTATAGTCTAGTCTATAGTCTAGTCTATAGTCTAGTCTATAGTCTAGTCTATAGTCTAGTCTATAGTCTAGTCTATAGTCTAGTCTATAGTCTAGTCTATAGTCTAGTCTATAGTCTAGTCTATAGTCTAGTCTATAGTCTAGTCTATAGTCTAGTCTATAGTCTAGTCTATAGTCTAGTCTATAGTCTAGTCTATAGTCTAGTCTATAGTCTAGTCTATAGTCTAGTCTATAGTCTAGTCTATAGTCTAGTCTATAGTCTAGTCTATAGTCTAGTCTATAGTCTAGTCTATAGTCTAGTCTATAGTCTAGTTCTAGTAGTCTAGTCTATAGCCTAGTCTATAGTCTAGTCTATAGCCTAGTCTATAGTCTAGTCTATAGTCTAGTCTATAGTCTACTCTATAGCCTAGTCTATAGTCTAGTCTATAGTCTACTTTATAGTCTAGTCTATAGTCGAGTCTATAGTCTAGTTTATAGTCTAGCCTATATTCTAGCCTATATTTTTGTCTATAGTCTAGTCTATAGTAGTCTATAGTTTAGTCTATAGTCTAGTCTATAGTCTAGTCTAGTCTATAGTCTAGTCTAGTCTATAGTCTAGTCTAGTCTATAGTCTAGTCTAGTCTATAGTCTAGTCTATAGTCTAGTCTAGTCTAGTCTAGTCTATAGTCTATAGTCTAGTCTATAGTCTAGTCTATAGTCTAGTCTATAGTCTAGTCTATGGTCTAGTCTATAGTCTAGTCTATAGTCTAGTATACAGTCTAGTCTATGGTCTAGTCTATAGTCTTGTCTATAGTCTAGTCTATAGTCTAGTCTATAGTCTAGTCTATAGTCTAGTCTATAGTCTAGTAGTCTAGTCTATAGTCTAATCTATAGTCTAGTCTATAGTCTAGTCTATAGTCTAGCCTAGTATATAGTCTAGTCTAGTAGCCTAGTATATGGCCTAGTCTAGTCTATAGTCTAGTTTATAGTCTTGTCTATAGTCTAGTTTATAGTCTAGTCTATAGTCTAGTCTATAGTCTAGTCTATTGTCTAGTATATAGTCTATAGTCTAGTCTATAGTCTAGTCTATAGTCTAGTCTATAGACTAGTCTATAGTCTAGTCTAGTCTATAGTCTAGTGTAGTCTATAGTCTAGTCTAGTCTATAAACTAGTCTATAGTCTAGTCTATAGTCTAGTCTATAGTCTAGTCTATAGTCTAGTCTATAGTCTAGTCTATAGTCTAGTCTATAGTCTAGTCTATAGTCTAGTCTATAGTCTAGTCTATAGTCTAGTCTATAGTCTAGTCTAGTCTATAGTTTAGTCTATAGTCTAGTCTATAGTCTAGCCTATAGTCTAGTTTATAGTCTAGTCTATAGTCTAGTTTATAGTCTAGTCTATAGTCTAGTCTATTGTCTAGTACATAGTTTAGTTTATAGTCTAGTCTATAGTCTAGTCTATAGTCTAGTCTAGTCTATAGTTTAGTCTATAGTCTAGTCTATAGTCTAGTCTATAGTCTACTTTATAGTCTAGTCTATAGTCCAGTCTATAGTCTAGTTTATAGTCTAGCCTATATTCTAGCCTATATTTTTGTCTATAGTCTAGTCTATAGTAGTCTATAGTTTAGTCTATAGCCTAGTCTGTAGTCTAGTCTATAATCTAGTCTATAGTCTAGTCTATAGTCTAGTCTATAGTCTAGTCTATAGTCTAGTCTATAGTCTAGTCTATAGTCTAGTCTATAGTCTAGTCTATAGTCTAGTCTATAGTCTAGTCTATAGTCTAGTCTATAGTCTAGTCTATAGTCTAGTCTATAGTCTAGTCTAAGTCTAGTCTATAGTCTAGTCTATAGTCTAGTCTATAGTCTAGTCTATAGTCTAGTCTATAGTCTAGTCTATAGTCCAGTCTATAGTCTAGTCTATAGTCTAGTCTATAGTCTAGTCTATAGTCTAGTCTATAGTCTAGTCTATAGTCTAGACTATAGTCTAGTCTATAGTCCAGTCTATAGTCTAGGCTAAAGTCTAGTCTATAGTCTAGTCTATAATCTAGTCTATAATGTAGTTTATAGTCTAGTCTATAGTCTATAGTCTAGGCTAAAGTCCAGTCTATAGTCTAGTCTGTAGTCTAGTCTATAGTCTAGTCTATAGTCTATACTATAGTCTAGTCTATAGTCTAGTCTATAGTCTAGTCTATAGTCTAGTCTATAGTCTAGTCTATAGTCTAGTCTATAGTCTAGTCTATAGTCTAATCTATAGTCTAGTCTATAGTCTAGTCTATAGTCTAGTCAATAGTCTGGTCTATAGTCTAGTCTATAGTCCAGTCTATAGTCTAGGCTAAAGTCTAGCCTATAGTCTAGTCTATAATCTAGTCTATAATCTAGTCTATAGTCTAGTCTATAGTCAAGACTATCTAATCAATAGTCGATAGCTTAGTCAATAGTCTGGTCGAAAGTCTTATCTATAGTATATTTAGTAGTCTGGTCTAGTCTATTATAACCAAATATATTTTCAATTTATTTACAAAATTTCGAATTAAAATTTTTAAAAATTATAAAAAAAACTAAAAATTCATTAAATCGTTTATACGTATATATGTATGTATTTCTTTTTGAAATAAAAACAATATTAAATTATAAACTAATTAGCCAACTATTTAGAATTAAGACTGTCTTTTTTTTATATAAAATCCAACATCTGACATACAAATTCTAACAAAAAAAAAAGAAACAGTTTCTGTAATTCTCTATTATTTAAAAACTAAAAACAAATTTTCGGGAAGTGTAAGTAATAAAATGAAATTAATTAAAAGTAAAATAAATTGTTAAAATTTTTATAAAACTACAATTAAAACTAAAAGTATGGGATTAAAAAATAAAAATTATAGTTAAATGTTTAGGAAATAGAAAGAGAAACAATCACAAGACTAATCTTGCAAAGAATCAATAGTACTTGTTGTTAATGAAGTGGACATCAGCCGCTTAACATCCGCCATTAGCAAATCTCATTGGCGAGCCGAACGTTCCGTTTCCATTAGGCATTCACGCACCAATATGCGTGCATGAACAATGCCACGTTTCAGGCGTTCTGTAGAAGTGCGCGAACCGGTATAGGTGGGTCGTATATCACGACCCATCTCCTCGATTATAGCCAATAGTTGGGCATATTTGGTGAGGCCATTATTTTGAGAATTATTTTGCGCAGAGCCCCCCAAATTGGAGCTGGAAGAGGTCATGGCTGTTGCAAGGTTGGAGGCCATATTGTTGCCTAAGATCAGGGGTGAAGTAGATTGTGGGTATTTGAGTTGTGAGGGTGTGGAGACACTACCACCACCACCATTTGAGGTAATGCTAACATTATTATGGTTTGTATTTGGTATGGGTGTCATGGACAGCTGAGAGGCTAAGGTAGATGACAAGACCGAGGCTCTTGGATTAGCGGGTGTTAAGGTTATTGAAGGTGAGGCAGTTGTATTGGCTTGCTGCTGCAGTAAAGCTAATTGAGCCTGCAGCTGTTGGGTGTACTGCAAGGCAGCCGCCGCTACAGCCGCATTTGAGGTATTACCACTGGCCACCGCTGCTGCCACTTGACTTAGTTGCTGATGATAGTCACGCTCACGTTTCGAGTGGGCATACAGGTCACGACTGCTGGACGAATGAGCCACACGGATATCATCCCTTTCCGTAGACGTCAAACCGTGGGAATGACGTTCTCGCGGCGCATGATGTATAGCGGATATTTGGATTTGTGGCTGTTGTTCGCGTTGCTCACGCTGCTGCTGATAATTGTAGAAATTTTGTACCTGTGACCGTGGTATTGGGGTCACAGTGACGTCACTCAATTTAGATTCTACTGCTTGTATGTCCATTATATCCATGTTTAGGTTTCACTTCTCAAAAAACAAATTATTTTTTAAATAAATTCAAATGAATTATTTACGCTGTTAACTATTTCAATTTTATTGTTAAATTTTTGGTTTTTTTTCTTTAAAGTTTTGGTGTGTTTTGGTTTAATTTTTCTTTTACTTTTTTTGTTACAGGAGAAAAGCAGAATATTTTTCTGTAAATGTCAAACGTAGTAGATGAAAAAAAACATTATACTTAAGTGTTGTTGTTTGTGTGAATAACGGGTAATTGTTTTGTTTACGTTTTCGTGTGAAAGGAAAAAGTAGTAAATTAAAATACACAGTTGCCAGAAAAGGTATTAAATTTAAAATTCATAACAAAAAGTACACTGGTAGAAAAAAATTACGCTAAATTTTTTTCAAATAGTAAAGGTCTTGAGAGTTGTTGGACTTCACAGTTGTTTTGTTTTACATTTCTTTTTCTAATATTCTGCACCCAATACCGCCTTCTTTAATACATCAAAAATGTTAGGGTTGCCGTTTTATATGTATTCAAATATCAACTAGATTTCTGCAAACCGGCTTTAAAATAATTGAAGAATTATCGAAAAGTGGAAGTGAAATTTATTGTCCTAACGAAGTCGAAAAATGGGCTATATGTAAGAAGAAAGTCGAAGAATCGATTTTCGCAAATAGAAGCCGGAAAAAGTCGAATAAAAGCGAAAGGACAAAAAAAGTAGGAAAATGATCTACAAGCCTACCTTTCATGAAATACAAAAGTCGAAAGGTGGACTTACTTACTTACTTAAATACTTACTTACTTACTTACTTACTTACTTACTTACTTACTTACTTACTTACTTACTTACTTTACTTACTTACTTACTTACTTACTTACTTACTTACTTACTTACTTACTTACTTACTTACTTACTTACTTACTTACTTACTTACTTACTTACTTACTTACTTACTTACTTACTTACTTACTTACTCTTACTTACTTACTTACTTACTTACTTACTTACTTACTTACTTACTTACTTACTTACTTACTTACTTACTTACTTACTTACTTACTTACTTACTTACTTACTTACTTACTTACTTACTTACTTACTTACTTACTTACTTACTTACTTACTTACTTACTTACTTACTTACTTACTTACTTACTTACTTACTTACTTACTTACTTACTTACTTTACTTACTTACTTACTTACTTACTTACTTACTTACTTACTTACTTACTTACTTACTTACTTACTTACTTACTTACTTACTTACTTACTTACTTACTTACTTACTTACTTACTTACTTACTTACTTACTTACTTACTTACTTACTTACTTACTTACTTACTTACTTACTTACTTACTTACTTACTTACTTACTTCTTACTTACTTACTTACTTACTTACTTACTTACTTACTTACTTACTTACTTACTTACTTACTTACTTACTTACTTACTTACTTACTTACTTACTTATACTTACTTACTTACTTACTTACTTACTTACTTACTTACTTACTTACTTACTTACTTACTTACTTACTTACTTACTTACTTTACTTACTTACTTACTTACTTACTTACTTACTTACTTACTTACTTACTTACTTACTTACTTACTTACTACTTACTTACTTACTTACTTACTACTTACTTACTTACTTACTTACTTACTTACTTACTTTACTTACTTACTTACTTACTTACTTACTTACTTACTTACTTACTTACTTACTTACTTACTTACTTACTTACTTACTTACTTACTACTTACTTACTTACTTACTTACTTACTTACTTACTTACTTACTTACTTACTTACTTACTTACTTACTTACTTACTTACTTACTTACTTACTTACTTACTTACTTACTTACTTACTTACTTACTTACTTACTTACTTACTTACTTACTTACTTACTTACTTACTTACTTACTTACTTACTTACTTACTTACTTACTCTTACTTACTTACTTACTTACTTACTTACTTACTTACTTACTTACTTTACTTACTTACTTACTTACTTACTTACTTACTTACTTACTTACTTACTTACTTACTTACTTCTTACTTACTTACTTACTTACTTACTTACTTACTTACTTACTTACTTACTTACTACTTACTTACTTACTTACTTACTTACTTACTTACTTACTTACTTACTTACTTACTTACTTACTTACTTACTTACTTACTTACTTACTTACTTACTTACTTACTTACTTACTTACTTACTTACTTACTTACTTACTACTTACTTACTTACTTACTTACTTACTTACTTACTTACTTACTTACTTACTTACTTACTTACTTACTTACTTACTTACTTACTTACTTACTTACTTACTTACTTTACTTACTTACTTACTTACTTACTTACTTACTTACTTACTTACTTACTTACTTACTTACTTACTTACTTACTTACTTACTTACTTCCTTCCTTCCTTCCTTCCTTCCTTCCTTCCTTCCTTCCTTCCTTCCTTCCTTCCTCCTTCCTTCCTTCCTTCCTTCCTTCCTTCCTTCTCCTTCCTTCCTTCCTTCCTTCCTTCCTTCCTTCCTTCCTTTTTTTTTAATCTTCTCCAATACATTTTCCAATCCCATATTTGCAACAAGTTTATGCTTTTAAAGAAATGATTTACCTGGCAACCCTCACAAGAATACGTTGCTTACAAATGACAGCAAAAAACGTTTTTTCGTCCTTTTATTATGACGTAAACAAGACACATGAGAAAAATAGCAAACAGCTGTTCAATAAATAACGGTCATAAGGTAAAACCGAATCACAAATGCATGAAAAACATAAACATTGTAGAGTAAATACAAACATTTTAAAGACTGCTACAATTTAATGTGAAAAAATAAAACTTTAATAAAAACCCGCCCTAAAAGTTGTTTTTTTTAACAAATAATTAGCAGCAAACAATTTTTGGTTGTCGAGGTAACTGTTATTGCCATTAAGGTGACGACGAAGAGGGATTTAGTTTATTAAATGTAACAAAATAAAAAGAGAAAAGTGGACTAAAAAGAAGTAAAAACAATAAAAAAAAACTACCACAAAAGTAGCAAAAAAATAATATGACATATAGAAGAATATAGAAAAAAAGTGAATAAAATCGTGTGCATGATTGTACAAGTACAAGCTGTTTTTTTAGTTTTTAAGTAGGGGCCGCTCTAAAGGCAGCAGCGGCTTTTAATTTCAACAGTAGCAGTAGCAGCAGCATAAATCTAACAACTAATGCCGATACACATTAACTATAAAACTAAAAAAATTGATTTGATTACCATTTTAGGAAATAGTTAATTGAAAAAAAGTGTTATTTATCAAAAAAGAATTAAAGCAAAAGTGTGAAAAATTATTATTAAAGAAAAGACAACAGTGGCAGTGTGTTTTAAAAAGGGGTTTGTTGAATTAAAAGTGTTTTAAAAATGGAAAATTTTGTTAAAAAATGTTTAAGAAAAATAATGAAATGACAAACAAATTATTTATTTATAACTTTTTTTCTTGGCTTCATTATTCATCAGGGATTTGCTTGCATAAGACTTTAATTACAGTTTTCTATTGGTGTTTTATTGTTGGTATCTGTTACCATTTTCAGTTCAGTGTTTTTTCATTATAATGTAGATTTTCTTTGTTTTCATTCATCTACTTACTTCCTCTTTGTAAGTGAATTTTATTGTTTTTTTTTTTTTGTTGGTTTTGAAACCAAGCAGAAAACTAATTTGTAAATGTATGTAAATTTTCCAACAAAAACTTACATTGGGGTTTTATAAATGCAATAAAAGCGTTCGACTGTCCAACCACAAATTTTAACAAAGTTAAATTTTTCACTTACCTGCAGCAGCTTTTATACCCAAAAAGTTTGTGGCCAGTCGCTGTTATTGTGTTTTCATATTCTCCCAAACAACCAACATTGTTGTTGTATTGTTTGCTCTTGTTTTAGGGTTTTATTTTAGTATTTTTTTTTTTGGCCAACTATCACCCCAAACTTGGCTTTAAACATCTGTTTTTGTTTTTGTCTACAAATAAAAAATTTAAACACAAAACGTAATAAAAAATTAATAAAATTCTTTCTCATATACAAAAATATATTTATTTCACCATATCTTTTCCTTCAAATTCTTTTAAACTCCCCAAAAAAGAAAAACAAACAACTTAAAAAACCCAACAACAATTTCCATCAAAAATTTCTGCACTTCCTCTAACCATATGTTTGTTTTTGTATGTGGATTGCCTCTTTGTGTTTTGAAATAAATTAGCTTACGGCAGGTGTGATTGTGTGTGTTTATCCATGAAAATTAAAACATTTTTATTAATTTTAGTTGCGGCTTTTTTTCGTTTGTAATATAATTTGCCCACCCAGCAATTGTTTTGCAATTTTGAAAAATAGCATCACTTTTTTTGCATGTGAGAGCAAAAGCAAAAAACCGCAAAATGCAAAAGCAAGAAAAAGAGTGTAAATTAGGACAGGGTTGTTAAAATTTGCGGCGAATTGATAATATTAACGATTTTTTCAGCAACTTTTTAAAGCAGGGTTGCTAAAAACTTACAAATAAACAAATAAACCCAGTGAGCAAGAAAGTAGTGTTAATTTGCGAGAAAATTAGAAAAGTAATATTTTATATAAAACAAGAAAAATTATAAAAATTAAATAAAAATTTAGCAACAATTTATTTAAAAAAGGAACATTTAACAAAAATTTTCTAATATAGAAAACATTTAAATTTGTCACTGGGTAATTTTATAAAAAAGAAAAAATTATAAAAAGTACATTTTTTCTTTTTTCTTAACTACAAAGTAAGCTTATAAATAAATTTCAGTAAATTTAATTATTTCTATTTTTAAATTATAATTGTTTAAAAATTTTTAATAATAAAAAATTTGTTATTTATTTATTGTTTATTAAATAGCTACTAACAAATTTTGCAACATTGCTAAATTTGCTGATATAATTATAACAACCCTGGGTGACATCACTGAATAGCAACAACAACAACAACTACAAAGAGAACTATTAAAAAGAGAAACAAACACAATTCGCCGCCATTTTTTTGTGATTGCAATTTGTCAGTTGAATTTTCGAATTAAGAGCGAATTTATTACTGTGTATTTGTTGCCTTTTGCTTACAACTACAGCAACATTATTTTAGTTAAGACTTGGAATTATTATTTGTTGTGTTTTAATAACGCCACAGCTCTGCAGCTGTTTTGTTTTTTTATTTTTTAATTTTATATTAACCAACAAAAGCTTTGTGAGTAATCATCTTAACGGTTTGGAAAAAAATCTTTAACTTAAAATTAATTAAAAAAATATTTTGTATGGAAATAAAAAAACAACAACGAGTATAGTGAAGTGAAAACCCCCACACACAAATTACAAAAGCAAAAAAAATAAAAAAAAGCAAAAACAAAAAGCATTATTACAATTAAGGAGGAGACATACGGTGAAAGATTGGGGGAAAAAAACACGAAACTGTCAAATATAGAAAAATTTGCGACAAGAAGGAAGTGTTTTAAAAGTGGAAGCAAGAAATTGAAGTTTTAATAAGAAAATTAACGAAAGTTCAAAATTATTTGAGAAATTTACTTGAAAAATAGAAAATTATAACAAAAGAAACTTCAATTACAAGAAATTTCCCAAGAAAAAGAAAAAAGTTTTTTTGGGAACAATTACTAACACCTCTGCAGGCAGCAAATAACCAACAACAACGAAAGCGGTGAGTTTTTTCTTGTTTTTTTGTTGTACTTAGTTGACACCAAAACCAACGTCACTTTTTCATTTTAATTTTTTTTCTGTTTTAAAATATATTAAACAATTGAAGTCATACAAAAACACAAAATAATTTAATATTTTATTGCAAATCCATTTAAAATTATTAGTTTGTGTGTGTGTGTGCGTATAAATCTTGGAGCTGTAAACGCTAACAGAGATTTTTGCTGCTCCGGCTGACTGCTTGCTGCTGAAACGTGTAAGCTGGTTGCCATTCAACTGAACCTACGCCAAAAACTATACAAAACCAACAACAACAACTAAGAAAAACAAAAAAACAACAACTCCCACTATGGAATACATTTCAATTGGAAAAAGTGTCAATATAAAACGTACCGACGGCCGTGTACATTCCGCGGTCGTCTCCAAAATCAATGAGTCGGGCAAATCCATCACCGTAGAATGGTATGAACGCGGCGAGACCAAAGGCAAGGAGGTGGAACTTGATGCCATTCTACTACTCAATCCCGAAATACTCGAGCAGGCCGAACAAGAGGAGCCTTTGCATACCGCTCCGGAACCCAAAAAAGTAGCCACTGCTCCCATAAATCTTTCACGTAATGCTACCCAGGGGGCTATAGGTCATCGTACCAATCGTGCCACTATCAATTCCTCCAATATTTTGTCCTCCGCCTCAGTGGCTGAGCATGTCGAAAATATACCTCCGCAAGCCCTACCACCACCCACTACCGGCATAGTACGTTCTCGCACCACCAATAATGCCTCGCGCCTAGCCTCGGCCTCTAATTTGGGTGGTGGTGGCCTTACCAATACCTCCTCTATAGGCAATACTTCTTCATATGGTGGTGGCGGTGGTGGTGCTGTTAGTGCCGCTAATAATGCCTCCAATTCCATAGCCACTGGCAATGTTGGTGCTCGTCGCTCCTATGTGGTCAAAGAGGTTGAACGTCTTAAGGAGAATCGTGAAAAACGTCGTGCCCGCCAAGCTGAGATTAAAGAAGAGAAAAATGCCTTAATGAATCAAGATCCCGGTAATCCCAATTGGGAAACCGCCCAAATGATACGCGAATATCAATCTACCCTGGAATTTAATCCATTAATTGATGGCCAGGCCGTCGAAGATCATCAAATTACCGTTTGTGTACGTAAGCGACCATTATCACGCAAAGAGTTAAATCGTAAAGAAATTGATGTGATTTCGGTGCCACGCAAGGATACGCTTATTGTTCATGAGCCGCGTAATAAAGTGGATTTAACAAAATTTCTGGAAAATCATAAATTTCGTTTTGACTATGCCTTCGATGATCGCTGTGACAATGCTATGGTTTACAAGTGAGTAGTGTACAATTTTTCTATTTTTATTTTAGTTTAAACTTTTAGACTCGTTGGTAGAATAGACTATAGATTATACTTTCGTCCGTATTATAGGCTACAAGAAGTCCACACTGTAAAATAAATTCTAGTCAGGTCTTGAGACCAGATGTTATTCACTATGGGATAGACATTATTTTGACAACTATAGACTAGACTATAGACTAGACTATAGAATAGACTATAGACTAGACTATAGACTAGACTATAGACTAGACTATAGACTAGACTATATACTAGACTATAGACTAGACTATAGACTAGACTAGACTATAGACTAGACTATAGACTAGACTATAGACTAGACTAGACTAGACTATAGACTAGACTATAGACTAGACTATAGACTAGACTATAGACTAGACTATAGACTAGACTATAGACTAGTAGACTACTAGACTAGACTATAGACTAGACTACAGATTAGACTATAGACTAGACTATAGCCTAGACTATAGCCTAGACTATAGACTAGACTATAGACTAGACTATAGACTAGACTATAGACTAGACTATAGACTAGGCTATAGATTAGACTATAGATTAGACTATAGACTAGACTATAGATTAGACTATAGACTAGACTATAGACTAGACTATAGACTAGACTATAGACTAGACTATAGATTAGACTATAGACTAGACTATAGACTAGACTACAGACTAGACTATAGACTAGACTATAGCCTAGACTATAGACTAGACTATAGACTAGACTATAGACTAGACTATAGACTAGACTATAGACTAGACTATAGACTAGACTATAGACTAGACTATAGACTAGACTATAGACTAGACTATAGACTAGACTATAGACTAGACTATAGACTAGACTATAGACTAGACTATAGGCTAGACTATAGACTAGGCTATAGACTATAGATTAGACTATAGACTAGACTATAGACTAGACTATAGACTAGACTATAGACTAGACTATAGACTAGACTATAGACTAGACTATAGACTAGACTATAGACTAGACTATAGACTAGACTATAGACTAGACTATAGACTAGACTATAGACTAGACTATAGACTAGACTATAGACTAGACTATAGACTAGACTATAGACTCGACTATAGACTAGACTATAGACTAGACTATAGACTAGACTAGACTATAGACTAGACTATAGACTAGACTAGACTATAGACTAGACTATAGACTGGACTATAGACTAGAATATAGACTAGACTATAGACTAGACCAGACCAGATGTTATTTACTATAGGCTAGACATTACTTTGACTACTATAGACTAAACTATAGACTGGACTATAGACTAGACTATAGACTAGACTATAGACTAGACTAGACTAGACTATAGACTAGACTATAGACTAGACTATAGACTAGACTATAGACTAGACTATAGACTAGACTATAGACTAGACTATAGACTAGACTATAGACTAGACTATAGACTAGACTATAGACTAGACTATAGACAGACATGACTACTAGACTAGACTAGACTATAGACTAGACTATAGACTAGACTATAGACTAGACTATAGACTAGACTATAGACTAGACTATAGACTAGACTATAGACTAGACTATAGACTAGACTATAGACTAGACTATAGACTAGACTATAGACTAGACTAGATAGACTATAGACTAGACTATAGACCATAGACTAGACTATAGACTAGACTATAGACTAGAATATAGACTAGACTATAGACTAGACTATAGACTAGACTATAGACTAGACTATAGACTAGTCTATAGACTAGACTATAGACTAGACTAAAGACTAGACTATATACTAGACTATACTAGACTATAGACTAGACTATAGACTAGACTATAGACTAGACTATAGACTAGACTATAGACTAGACTATAGACTAGACTATAGACTA